ATTTTGGGGAGGCGGCCTATATGAAGAGGACACATTTTGGGCAGGCGGCCTTCGAGTGACCAGTAATAAGTAATAGCACCAGAGAACAGCCAGGAATAGTCCAGGACTCTGAGGGAGAACTGTCATAGGACTTGTAGTGTCCCAACTGGCTTCTCTTCTGCAAAGCACCTGGGAATAGGGTGAGGGATCTCTTACAGGGGTCCAGACGGCACCTCTCACCAGCTCCTCTGTGACACTCATCCATAAGCAGATTCCACCTCCGGCCCAGCTTCCATCAGGTCCTTTCCAGCAGTATTGAAGGTCTCTGGGCCCCAGCATCTGCCACATGCTGAGGCCTAGGCCAGGCATCCTATAGCACACAGACCTCCTCCCAGGGAGGGCCCCGGGGGGGGGGGTTCTGGAAAGTGTCCCCAAACATTTATCACCTTCCTCCAGCCACACCTCTGAGTCACCCTGCTCAGGGATTGGTCAGAGTCAGATGCATAGTGACAGTCTGAGGATGGATCCTCCCTCACTGTACTCACAGCAATCAGCATCCAGATTGATTACAGTCCAGATATAACACTAAATTTAGTAGCGACATAGCAGAGAGCGCTACAATTGTATTAAAAATATATAAAATGACTCAATTAAGCAAATATTTAGATGCTTCATATAATAATAACAATAATAATAATAATAATACAATTGAAATTATTAGTTATACTATTCCTATCAAATAACTACCGTATTTTGCGGTCTATAAGACGCTCCGGACGATAGGACGCATGGCTTCTGTGACAGAAGCTGCAGTTAGTGACCGCTGGAGGCAGGTGGCGCTGTCTCAGTAATCACACAGAGCAACGTCGTTCTTCGTCTGCTCAATGGGCTCTATGGTGAGCTCCTATGGGGGAACGTGACGGGTCACGGTCCCCCAGAGGAACGGGGGACCCAGAAAACCTCGGCCAGGGGCGGACGCGATCGCCGATGCCGCTGGATTTAATACAAGGGATCTACTTAGATCGCTTGTATTAAACGAGCAGCGGCTCCCACTGTACATTCAGCTCTGCCTGTCAGGAGCAGGGCTGAATGTACAGAAAGAAACTACTCGCCCGGCGCCCGAAACTGCATGTCCCGGGCGTCGGGCGATAGGTATTCGCTCCATAAGACGCAGGCACATTTCCCCCCTCCTTTTGGGGGAAAAAAAGTGCGTCTTATGGAGCGAAAAATACGGTAATGATGGAAATGAAATACACTGTGTGACGGAGGTTGTGGGGGACACAGAACACACACACTGAGGCCAAGAGTGGTTTTTAGGACCCTTGACCAGTGGGTTCTTTATTGGGGGTTCTCAACATTAGGATACGGCAAGTGTGGTAGTAATCTGGACAAAACAAAGGGCTAAAACCGCAAGGGATAGCAAGGGCAGAGTCCAGGGGCACAGAGGAGGAATCCGGGGAAAGGCAATGGATAACAGCAGCAGGGCACAGCATGGGTAACGTCCAGGGGCACAGGGCAGCAATCCAGGCACAGCAAAGGGGTAACAGCAACCAGGTATGATAAAAGAAAGTCACGACTCACAACACTCAGCAGAAGAGGGATCCACATGGGATGGTAAGGCAGGAGGTGGTCTGTAGAGCCTCTTTATTGTTCAAACAGGACAACAGTTCACAGCTAGTAAGGCCCTACAAGTCCCAGTAGTCCCCAATCACTGGTCACACATCCGGAGCTAGATGACCCAGCAGTCCTCATCTTCTACTGGTCTCTTTCCCATGAGACCCTCCAGCCATGAGTCTCTCGTTCTATCACTGAAGTATAACTCAGAACACACTGACCCCCTTTCTCTGAGCACAAGGCTGTAAATATCTTGTACCTGGAGTTCAGCAATCAGAGATCTAAAGCCCGGACGGCTGTTGCCGAGGTGTCTGACTTTGTCCTGGTGCAGGATACAATACATCCTGAGCTTCCTGCTGAGAGGAGCCTCATCTACAGACCTCCTGCATGGGCACAGGAATTCATGCATCAATTATGAAGATCAGCTGACTGATTAACATGAACAAATGTTCTTAGAGGTCAATTTCCAAACACATCTAATATTTCAAAGCTAATAATTCTGATCTGCGTTACACACTCACAGCGTCCTTCCACATCCGAACATCTCAGTAGATCCCGAGGAAGAGACACAACATATCCCAGCGTCAGACACCCAGACATTGTGCCTTCCCTGTTATCACCCATGGCTTCTTATTGTCACCCTGACACTTGTCTTGTCCCTTCCCCCAACCTTCATTTCTAATCTTATCCTTATACTTAACCCTTAACCCAAAATGTTCCCTCACCACCCTTCCCCTAGTTGACCCCCAAACCTGAAGTGTCCCCTGACCTCTCTGGTAGACATCTTACTGGGCTGATATGTTGGTGATGATTGGTACCAGTCTTGGCTATGAATGGCTCGGATTTGCAGTGGTGGCCCCTAGAAGTACGTGTCTGTATGAATTGTGGCCCCAAACAGGGTAGAATTCCTTTGTGTCCTCGATATACCGATCAGATGAATGATGATGATGATGGGATGAAGGTTCTGATTGACCATCATAGTTATGGGCTGTAAATGACAGAAGTCCATCCAATTCTTATATTCTCTGATTGTACAACCCGGTAGCCAATCATTGTCCACATCACAGAACAAACTCCTCCTTATTGGTTCCGTTCATCACACTGCTAATGAGTTTATTATTGTTTGTGCTCCTTCCAGGTGACGTCATCTCGGGTCATCTCCTGATGTCATGGCGACCTCATCCTCCTCCTCCTCACAAGGTGTGATTGGTGATACTGACAATCCTTTCCAATGTTCTCCTCCATCTCACATCTCTGGAGATTGGAATGAGATGATAGGACGCCTTACGTATCCATATCCTGTACATTTCCTGTAGACATCTGCTCAGTCCCCCCATTAGAAGAGTTCCGGAGCTTTCATCAATCCCACAATCACATTGTGTCTTCATATCTTATGTATCATTGATGGAAATGATCTTCTGAGATGGTCCAGTGATCCATAAGTGACTGGATGACCCCAAGCTTGATGGTTATTTGTGTCATGGTTGGGGTCATCCTTTGTCTATAATCCTAAGGAGAAATCAGCCCCGTGTCACGTGACACATCCTGCTGGGAGATTTGGGTGTAATCGGAGTTGTGTACATGGATCAGAGACATCATTATATTGTTGGGGGGTCCGTCGTATGATTACTGCTCTCCAGGGTCAGGGAGGTATTGGGGACATGTAGGGATCACTTATATATACACTGTATGGTCACACACACTAATGGGTGTGTTTATAAATGTTGTTGCTCAGCTTTCACCCCGGAGATACACAACTTTCACTTGATTCAATTGGAAGAAGTGTGAATCTTAGATGAAAGTTGTGTGACTCATGGGTGAAAATATAAACATATCTCTATGTTGTTGCAACTCTCCAATCTCTCCATAGACCAATGAACATAGAGACATATTGGGGGATATCTTCCTTTCCCTTCTATAGGCTCTTTATAGCTCCACCATCTACCAGTACAGACTTGTCAGAAACTGTCCAATCAGGATAATGTTCATGGTTGTGGATTGTTCTCTCTGCAGGGTCGGCTCCTGGTGTCCTGGGAAAGGGCCAACAAACCCCCGGAGATCTCATCATATATTCTCTGGAGGATCTGAATGGAGATGACTTCAAGAGATTTAGGGACAAATTGTCTGATTTCTCCTATGGAGATAAACGTCCCATCCCCCGAGGAAGACTAGAAAATGTGGACTGGATCACCACCAAGAACCTCCTGATAGACACATATGGAGAAGAAGGAGCTCTGGATGTCACAATTGAAGTCCTTACACTGATCAGTCAGATGGGACCTGCCAAGGTCCTCCAGGATACGAGAGCACAACATGGTGAGTTCCCGTCTATAAGGACCATTTCCTAACAATTCCTGAGAGATATCTGTGTGAGGAAGAACTAGTCATGTGACACAGGGACAGCCAGTGACCACTCAGGACATTCTAAGTGGATGAAACAATCTTTATTGAGGTGGTTTGTAGAACAGAATAATGAAGGAAACAAATGTGTGAATAGAGGAAAGTATTGCAGAGTTCAGAAGTAATCTAAGAGGAAATCAGGGAAGCAGAGTAACACCTCCCCAGGATGCTGCCAGTCAGTCACCAGAGCACAATGACGTCACTCAGCATGCCGGGCAGTGTAATACAATTGCAGCCATTTGTCTATCTCACAGAGCCTCCACCACTGTATTCCTGGGAGACCCTCATGAGTGATGCTCGGGGTTCTGTACCTCGTGTCTCATACTTCCAACTAAACCTCCATCAGGAAGAGGAGTCGATGCTATAGATTATAAGTGTGTGCTGATACAAGCATGCAGGAGGATTGGAGAACTTGTGGCCCCTCCCCTCATGTCACTCACATGTCACTGTGAGCTGGGTCTTACCAGACACCTGAAGCCACAACCCATCACCTGCAGGGAGAAATAGGAGGAGGAGAGGCTCCAATCCCCAGAGGGTTGGTGGGATTATGGTACCTGGGAGTATCTGACACACTAATAACATTCTTAGAAATTGATTTAGAGCTTCCAGAGGTTTGTCAGGACTAAATATGATCAGATTCTGAGAGGAAGATATTCTCCTGCACACAGCTTACTTCTTCTACAATCATTTCTTATTTTCCAGGCAAACTGAAGAAGACGACGTCACATGACATGAGATTATCAGGTGAGTAGGACATCCACATGACATATCAGATCTCTTCTGGAGAAACATTGTGTTGTAGTCTGGGTGATGGGGGAATATTTGGACTTCTTCCACAATTCTACGGTATTTCATGAGATATTTTATCATTCAATTCTGAGTTCTTCTGGTTAGAATGTTTCACATCATATTTCATGTTTGTATGAGGAATCAAATATTTGTCTTTCTCTTATAAAGACTTTGGAAAGGAATACAGAGCGTCTGTGGAAGAGATGTTCCAGCGGATTCCTGAATATAATTCCTGTGGGGGAGAGGCTGTTAGTCTACAGAAAAGATACACCAAGTTATTAATGAGGAAGGAACACCAGAAGAAAGAGGAGAAAGAACAAGACCTAAGGAGTACAGGCAGAGGACATCTACAGATCATGGAGGAAAGATCTTCTGATAAATACTCCCCAATCACAATCCAGGACCTCTTTGCCCCCGATGAAGAAGGTTTCATCCCTAAGATTGTGGTGTTACAAGGACCTGCTGGGATTGGAAAAACAATGACCTCCAAGAAGATCATGCTGGACTGGGCCTCTGGCAGTCTCTACCAAGACACATTTGACTCTGTGTTTTATCTGAGCTGTAGAGAACTCAACACCATCACTGAAAACATAAACCTGGTGGGACTTCTATCCAGAAGCTGCGGACTGCCGTGTTCAGGTGACCTGGTGTCTATTCTGAAGGATCCTGGAAGTCATAGAAAACTTCTCTTTCTAGTTGATGGGTTTGATGAACTGAGGTGGACTCTGGGGAAGAAATCTGAGGTTTGTCATGATGTTTCTGAGGAAACGCACAAAGAAATACTTCTCCAAAGCCTTCTCAGGAAACAGATTGTCCAACAATCTTCTCTGATCATCACCACGAGGTCCCTGGCCATGAAGAAACTGAACACAGTGATAGATGATTATCGCTGTGTGGAAATCCAGGGATTTACAAGGAAAGATCGGGAGGAATATGTCCATAAATTCTTTGTAAATGCAGAAGATGCAGCCAAGGCTCTCCGTATAATAAGAGACAATGATATTGTGTACGCCATGTGTTCTGTCCCCGTCACATGCTGGATTGTCTGCACTGTAATACAACAAGAAATAAAGAAAGATTCGGCTTTAATTCGATGTAAAACAATGACCTCCATTTACCTCCTCTACCTGGAGGTTTTACTAACCCATCACAGCAAGGAGGACCAGTCTGTCTTTGGGAGACCTCAGGCCATCACCACCTGTCTGAAGAAGCTGTGTGCTCTGGCCAATGAGGGCGTTCTGAACCAGCAAATCTTGTTTAAGGAAGAAGATCTACAAAGACACGGACTGTCTCTGCGTGAGGTGGAGTCTGTGTTTCTGAATGAGAACATCTTCCATTGGGACGTCCGCACCCAGACCTGCTACAGCTTCATCCACCTGAGTGTACAGGAGTTCTTGGCTGCTCTGTATTATGGGCTGGATGGTGGTTCTGGATTTAAGAAAAGTTTTTTCCTCCCGAAGATTTGTAAAGGGAATTCCCTCTCAGCATTGAGTTCTTACTACCCACATTTAGCTTTAGCTGTACAATTCCTGTTCGGTCTCCTAAATGAAAAGATGGTGAAGACATTCTCAGAGGTCACAGGGATCAACATCTCACTGAGAAACAGATCTGTAATAAAACAATGGACCACGAAGGACATGAATGTGAAAATCAATACTGATGTCATTGTGTGTCTGTATGAGTTCCAGGATGAGGACTTCATAAGGAGAGTCATGTCTCATAGATCACATTTGGAAGTACAAGGCACAGGGTATGACATCAGGGGGAATGTGAGGAATCATTCCAAGGAGCTGGACTATTGCTTGAAGGCTTTGAAGAGTAAAAGTTTTCTGTCATTACATTTTGAAGACCTCACACTGGATCCCGAGTGCCAGAAATCGTTATCTCTGGTTGTACACAGGAGTCGGAGAGTTGGGTAAGTGAGTGTGATTATTTCTAAGTGAATTGAGAGCAATCAGCAGAGTCTGAGCACCTTCTAGGCTGTAATGGGCAGGAACCTGCATACAGTATAATGGGGGTTATTATCAGACATCCTCCATGTACCTCACCTATCTGTAAATAAATAGAAAGGTGCAGCACATCAATCTAGAATGTTCCTACAATGAATGAAACCCTCATAACTTATCATATAAACACAGACTAGTTCTATGATTCATGACAATTGCTATACACAGAGCACGGAGCAAACTCCCATCATCCAGTTTGGGTTCATCTCCTATAAATGATGATTGTTATATTTTCCTTCTTCATGTCAGAGGTCAGTCATTCTCCTTGTCATTCTCATCTCATCATTCTCTTCTAGGTTTGGGTATTGTACATTTCATAGACGGTATGGTGAAGATGAAGGCTCCTCCTCCTCAGGACATGAGATGGTTCCTGATATTCTTTCTTCTCTGATTCCCCCGGAGAGTAAAATTGAGGAATTAAGGTAAGAGAAATGTGTGATCCCGGCAGTGATGGGAAATGTGACGTCTTGTTCCGTCTCTCGGTGTTTCCTTGTAGCTCCGGGTGTCTTCCATCCTCTCCGATGTAGAATCTTCCATCACCTCTCCTCTTCTCATGTCTCCTCCCCCTTTATTATCTCCTCCATGGACCTCGGGGTCCTCCTAATGACCTCCCTTGGTGGGATTGTATAGAGAAAACTCGGATGGATTGGGATCATTGATACATTTTATTTGGGTGTTTTATATGTTTTTTTACTCTTTATATAAAATTCTTTTCTTACAAATAATAATACGGGGCGCCCCCATAATCTGGTGTCACCATGGAATTATAAATAGAGAGCAGCAGAAGATGTTTTCCCCTCTCTCTGTAATTGAATCTTAGGACTGAGTTGTCTGATCAGAGCAGATGGGGGAGGGGTCCCTCTGACTAAACCATCTGTGAGTGTAAATGACAGTTTGAGCTACTGAGCTCTGTACACATCATGATTTGTACAGCAAACCAGGGAAGGACAGGCAGATAAACATGAGGAAAGACATTTGTTATGTGATAGTCCTGACACTAGTAAATATAGAAGATATGAAGGTCGTATCCTATGGACATTGACCCCCCCGGAGTCCCTCCACAACCCTCTATTATACTATGTAGAGCTGAGCAGTCAGCTTCATGTTATTGTATTTTCTTCCTTTCTGTTTCATTTCTTCATTACAAACTATTTATATATAAAATGTGTCCTCCTTATATTGTCCTCCTGGAGGTTCTTACCCCATGGGGGGAGGATGTGTCTGCACCTACTATGACTGTCTATTAATGTCCCACGTGTCCTCAGAATAAGATCTCACCGGACTGTCTGCACCTAATATTCAGGAATGTTGGGGAATTAGAGATATTTTTCGGATGATTTCCATAATAACATTATATCTAGAACATTTCTTTTTTTTTTCTGGCAAATCTGAATTACTCAACTTTAGTTCAGGGGTAGGAAATCTCCATCAATGCCACTGTGGTGAAACTACAAATCCCATCATGGATGTGCCTCTGGGAGTGGTGCCTGTGGCTGTCTGTGTCTTGCAATGCCCATTAGATTTGTAGTTGCCCCACAGCTGGAGGGATGGAGCTTTCCTACCCCTGTTCTAGTGTGCAGGACATTCATTTACAGATCTCTCATGTAAGACATGACATTACCCAGCAGTCCCTTCTCCCTGGAGCCTCTGGAGAGGGTTATTTGCATATTTTCCCAGAGAACATTGCCATATAGTCTTCCTATTGGCTGTATGTAGCCATAGTAACCAGAACTACCATCCCCGGCTGATGAGACCCATTAGAGTGAAGCAGTGCTGTCCATGACTCGGGGTTCGGGTTCAGCAATGGTCGCTTCTCGGCCTTTTGGCTAAGATCAAGTGTAGTATCTGTTCTTATCAGTTGTCGGGAACTGAAAGTCCGCTGTCGCCTATGAAGGGTGGATGGACGGACCGGTAGGTTCCTGGCGTAATTGGTAGGGAGCCGGATGAGGTTCCAGGCCCCGGAGTTTTCGACCCTAGTTAATGGGTGGGCTCCAGGGGAGGGATCTCTAAAGGTGAACTATCTCCTGATGGGAATGGATCCGAAACTTGATCAAGGCTCGAGGGTTTGGGGGCGGCAGAAGCCCGTGGTGTTGTGCCCCCTGGGGGTGGCGTCCCAGGGGTGCTCAGGAAGTCACTTGGGTGTGGGACCCCAATTTGACTCACTGATCACTCGGTCACACACCACATTGCTTATTTCTGCACAACGCCTCTTGGACAGGCCTTATGGCTAGTCCGGGGCAATTTTTTTGCACTCGGCCCCTAAGGCCTGTCAGCGTGGTGCACTGGCACTTTAGTATTATTTATGCACTTAATGCACGATGCACGATTGGCTTTTTTTGAAAAGCATAGTTTGACCCACAGATGCTGAAGGTGCAGGTTTCGGGGCCTATTCCTGACGCTGGGAGGAGATTCTGTGCCTCCTATGGGGTTCTCTGTCTCCTCCCACCCAGGAGGGGGGTTTCTCTTCGGGAGATCCCCCCTGCCTAGTACTGTGAGGGACCTGTTTCGGCAGGTCCCCGACGGAAACGGTCCACCGGCCTTCGGGTTGGTGGTCCGACAGTCTCAACCCCTGTCAGGAGCCTTGCGCCCCTGGGGCTCGGGAAAGTAGGTCCCTTCTTTGGAAGGACCTTGCACCCTTGTGCACGTTTTTGTGTGCTGTGATTTCACGGTTCACTTTTTTTGTTCACAGGGGGAAGTTTGTTTTGATGCACGTCCACGGGCTTCGATAAAAAAAAAAAAATGGTCAGGTGATCGCTTTATATGTCCAGTAGATACAAATCATTGTTATGACTTCTCAGTAAATGACAATAAGTCCTTGTATTCCTCCCGAAGTATCATTTCATGTCTCTATATTTCTCTCCGCAGTATCCATGATTGTGGTTTATCTTCCTCGTCCTGTGATGTTCTCCGATCAATACTTATCACTAATCGATCTCTCACCAGCCTGGATTTATCACTCAATAATCTGCAGGACTCTGGAATAAAACTTCTGTGTGAGGGTCTCCGACATCCAGACTGTACCCTGCAGGAGCTGAGGTGAGAATGATACTATAAATCAGCGGTTCTCAACCTGTATAACCTCAGGACCCACATTTGTCCTTGGTCATTAAGTCGCGACCCAAGTCGCACCACAATGGAATGCCCGGCAATGCAGTACCGCATGTTTCGTTGCAATCAAACTATGGGCAGGAGGTGTGTTTAGGGTGCCATTTAAATTAATTGCAACGCAGCACACCACCAGCAATTCCCCCACCAGAATGAACAGTAGGTGCAATTGCGTGGTAGTTGTAGCCATAAGGGCACACAAGGGAGCTGTAAGCAATGCATGTATGGATGGAGCTCCCTCACGGCCATTGCCCCAGCCCACCCCACCTCACCCCAAGCTGACACTCAGCACCGGGCAGCATATTTTAAATGGCTGCTCGGCAGGAGAACTGACAGTGCTGCACTAGGGGGAGGCTGAGGAGCCTCTCTTAGTGCAGTGGAATTATGATGCCTTTCTACTGTTCCACTGAACATGGGGTCGCGACCCACCAGTTGAGAACCACGGCTATAAATGATGATCCGATGGGAGAGATCCTGAGGATCGGAGATGTGAATGCTGGTGAGCTATGATCTGTCATGGATTGTATGGTCTATGAGTGTCATTGGAATGGTGCACAATGGTCTGATCTCCACATGTATATATTTCCTGGATTATTAGTACACAGATTTGGGGGGGTTTTGTGGCATTTAGCGTGTCACCATTATTATTATTATATATGTAACTCTGAATGCTGCACTCTGAGCACTCCAAACTTTATAAAGCTCCATCAGTATAAAATAACACCACAAGACCACGCCCCTAAATGAACCACAAACTAAACAGTAACACAAAAAGGCTCCAGTAAGAGTGGAAAGGGTTACATACAGGATGCTTGTCCAAAGAGCTCGCAATCAGTAGTGAAGTGCAGTCTCATATCTGACCCTAATCTCTTCCTATGCGGTGTGTCACCTTCTCCTCTCCTCTCCCTCCATCAGCTTCCAATACACTGACACTATGGCTGCCCTGTCCCCTCCCCCTTTTATAATGAGGTGGCCGGTTTATCAAAAATCCACCTTATTGGCTGTTCTAAGCCTGCTGGTCATAGTTCAAAGGTCATGCAGTGCATTATGGGTTATATACATACCTGATGACTGGAACCACCAACCAACCACTGTGACTATGAAGATAAAATGGCCTCCCCCAATCAGATGTGAGGTGAAGGTGTTGAGGATTGGTTAGATGACAAGTCATATCAGCCTTAAGGGTCTCCTCACACTTGTCTGTTGTCATGCAGCAATACGCATGGATCTCTCTGCATGGAAACGCAGGACAACTACAAGTCCCATTATTTCCTATGTGGCTGGTTCACATCTATGAGCCGCAGTGTAGCGTGAAAGGGAATGTATATGGACCCATTCACACCTACAATGTGGACATGACCACGCCCACTGCAATGTACACGGAACAACCGAAGACTTTTCATGTGGCTGACAACTCCCCTACATTTCACAGAGGAGGGACAACCAATATTCCATCATCCATCCAAATGTCCCAACATTTCATCTTCTAAGACCCCGTACACGGATCATTCATTGCAATGTGTCACTGGAGGAACTTCTCACCTCTCTTTCCTGTTTCCCCATCTAGAGTTTACGACCGCGGAGTGACATTCTCGTGCTGTGATGATCTTTCCTCCGTTATCACCACAAACCGAACTCTGACCTCACTGGATATAATATTGGATGATGAGAAGATGTCAGACTCAGAAGTGGCTCGTTGTTGTGAGGTCCTCGGACATGCCGGCTTCTCTGTGTATAGATGGTAAGATCTATTATATTGGAAGTAACGCACATACTAAGCCTCAGACTCTGAACACTAAAACATAGACAACATGGGATGGGGAGGAGATGGTGGAGCTGGGACCTTGTTGGGAAGTCTTCTGACACCCGGGCTGGACTGTAATGAAGAATGGAAGGACGGGGTGACCAACCTTCTATACACGTTCTGCTGGAACCCATTGGAGGTCTCTGGAGTCATACAGATAATGAGAGAAGCGATTTAGATTTCCTGGGCCAGTCACAGATTTCCCAGATGATGGAGAATTTATAATTACAGATGGTGGATGAGGAGAATCGGCTCCACCCCTAATACTCTTAGTCAGGTCCCACAATCTTCCACAAGGTTTTACCTTTAAAGAGAAATTACTTTACTTCCATTTCCACCATCCCCCCTCCCCCGCTGTCTATCCAATCTTCCGTTACCACCATCCCCCTCCCCCGCTGTCTATCCAATCTTCCGTTACCACCATCCCCCTCCCCCGCTGTCTATCCAATCTTCCGTTACCACCATCCCCCTCCCCCGCTGTCTATCCAATCTTCCGTTACCATCCCCCTCCCCCGCTGTCTATCCAATCTTCCGTTACCATCCCCCTCCCCTGCTGTCTATCCAATCTGTCAGTATAACTGACCACATCAGATGATGGTTCTCCTCCTGTACACATCCCAGCCCAGCACACCAGGCATGCAGTCTGGTATCCCAATGGTTGGGTGCCCATGAGTGTGCGGGCCCCTGCCATGGTGGAGACCCCTCAGTATTAGGTGGGTGATTCACAAGGTGGTTGGGGGCCCTATAAATGTTGGACACTTTTCACACCCCGAAAGACACCACTGACATACATTGTACGGCTGCAGATTTGTACATTACACATCGCACACATTTCCAGGAAGACACCAAAATAGTTCCCATTAGTGTGTATAAAAATGTCCGTCATTTCTTCCAGACCGCAGTACCAGCCTTTTCCTTCATCCCAGGAACCCCTCCCCCGCTAACACTCTCATTTCATTCTTCTATGAAGGGATGGGCGCTGGAATGTATCTATATACAGAAGAATCTGATAATCTGGAGGTTGTGGAGCCGCCTCCTCCTCTTCAGGTAATACACGGATCCCGATATGAAGACAATGTCCAGAATGGAATGGTATCACATTGACCTGTTCATGAAACTGATGATTCAGCTTTTTCCTTTTCTTCAGATTCAGCGATGAGAGATTCTACTTGTGACAAATCCAGGCTGTGTATTGCCTACACTGGGGAAGGCTGCTTATTGTGGGGGATTGCACTGTGTGTATGTCTCTTTGTTTATCCTCCCATCCCCCATCCACACCTATCTGTTAAACTAATCAGCCCATTGTTAGACTCTGTGCCATGAAGTGTGTATTGGGACAAAGCAGACTCCTGATTTATCCCAATTACCTCCTACTGGTTGATACCGGTTCTTCCTAGACCGGAAGGGGGTGGGCTTATTTCTATAGAACTCAAATGCTTGGTGTTAATAAAGTTTTGTGTCATTCTGCTTACCTCAAAATGAGTTCTGCCTGATTCTTGAGGTAATGGTAACAGGGTTTGGAATACGTTCCATTTGGGAAGCCATATCACTGACGGAGGCGCTCAGTCGGGGTGCCAGGGAGTCCGTCACACTACTGAACGTCATTCCGGAATGATCTGACCCATGAATGTCTCCTTCCTCCCATTCCTCCATTTTATATTGTATTGTTACTCCTTCATGTATTCATTACTACAAAATACAAATGTGATTGTTGGATCTTCACCCCCAAAACTCCTCCCACTGATGAGACCCAGCACACCGGAACATTCCTACTACACAAGGACACTGACCACCCGGTCATCTCCATCCTTCATCCCAATTCTCCTCTGTGGATGGAGGAGGAGGACACACCGGACTCTCTTCTTGGACCTGAAAGAGCTCCGCCCACCAGTCTCTGTATCTATGTTGAACGTTAGTCCATGAATCCAGCAATATTATAAACTTCATAGATGTTTGAAGATCCTTTCGTGATTTACTTATATCCAGAGTTTCCGTATTGCTTGATAATTGTTTCTCTGTTTATGTTTCCATCAGAAAGACACTGCTGGGGTCAAATCAAAGCCATGGGGGGGGGGGTGCAACTGAATGCTACGCTACTCCCTTACGCTTTTCTCCCCAGCAAGGGGCTTCGTCAGAGGGGCGTAGTCTGTTAATTCGAGGAATTGATCGGTTTTATATCCTCGTTTGGACACTTACAGTGTTTCTTCAGAGCGCTGTGTGTTCCATTCACTGAAATAACAGAAATCACTTCCTGCTTGCGCTCCACTTGTTGCTAAGCGACTTATCCTGTATTATTTCCACTCTGTAATCATTCAACTTGTAATAAATTCCATATATACCAGATATGCAAAACCTGATCCGTGTCCTCACTCAGATGTCTCCTCCATAAAAATATGCATCTAGCTAGAACTCAAACAGTTCACACTAAAGTCTTACTAATGAATTGTATTTTATTTACCCTGTTTCCCCGAAAATAAGACCTACCCCGAAAATAAGACCTAGTTGTGACCATACCCAGGGCCGGCGGTGGCATAAGGGGGAACTTTAAGAGTCGTGGGAGAGGCGGGAGGGATTCACGGTGCCAACGAAGCCAGCGCTATAGGAAGCGAGTCGGCAGCGGAGGGAGCGGAGCCGCACAAGCCGATGCCTCCTCTATAGTGCCGGCTCCTGTCACAGGCGGAGTGATACCAAATGCACTCCGCCTGTGAGGAATCCATAGTGAAAGCGCGCTTCGCTCATTCTGGTTACCAAATTGCTCTTGGAAAGGTACGGCGCCCCTGATCACCCGATTCTTAACTTTGCCATTTTGGAATATTTAATTTGGATTTGCATTAACTTTGGATTGTTGCACATTAAAAAAAATAAGACCTACCCCGAAAATAAGACCTAGTATGTTTTTTTGAGCCAAAAAAAATATAAGACAGTGTCTTATTTTCGGGGAAACACGGTATCTCTCTCCTATACTTTACATCTATTACATATTCATCGGACCTCTGAGCGGAGCAACACAGATGAGGAACAATATGAACAGAACTTCCTTACAAAACACAACTGAAATCCATCATTTTATTTATCCCTGGCTCTTCATAACATCTGGGTAGGTGCAGGGCAGCCATCGGAAATTTTGGGGCCCCTACACAGCTTTATGCCTGGGCCCCCCGGCCACCCTACCAACACTGCACCTGTCCATTGGCTGTCCCATTGAGTCCTCCCACTGTGCAACACTCATTACAGTTGCAACACTATTACAACTTAATATGTGAAACTGTAATGTGTATTACAACGCATAGGCGACACCGACATCCTGCTGTCCTCTGCCAACCCTCCCACCCCAGTGCAATGGACACTGTTTAGTGTTAGCACGGCTGCTGTCCTCTGCACTACCGCTCCCCACTGCATTGGGCCACCAGTCTGTCCTCTGCAAAGGCCCCCCCCTGGAGTGACAACGCACAAGAGACGCTGATGCCTGCCAACCCTCCCACCCAATGGACGCTGTTTAGTGTTTGCACAGCTGCTGTCCTCTGCGATATCCCTCCCATCCTCGTTGGGCCACCAGTCAGCCTCAGACTCCAGTCTGTCCTCTGCAAAGGCAGCAGCTCTGCTCCCGTCTTTCTTCAGTGCTTCAGTCGGCTAAAACATAAGCTCCGCCCCTGAAAACCTTCCTGCATGTACAGGAAGGCATCAATTGTACAGAGAAGGAGGGAGCGGGACCATACCGACTGGACTGTACATAATATTTTATAGCATATACTCCTTCCTTGGAGCCCGGGGCCCCAAAAGTTGCTAGGACCCCTTACTTGAGTGCAGGCCGTACACCCCTCATGGCGGCCCTGGGTAGGTGTATCCAATTGCATTCCCTTTGTAACAAAGATTTATCCCAATTACCTCCAAGACTTTGCTTATGTACTCGGTCAAGCAAAGTTTTTCCACATGACTTCCATGGACCTGAATCAGATGTCATATAGCCACTTGGGATCTCACGGGGAGCCACATCCGCCAAGTGATCCGAGATCCTTTTATCATTTGCGTCTTGCCAATTTATATCATGTCGCGATGACACAGAAGTCAGTATATTGCACCTTCAGGTTCACAGTTGGCAAAATGTCGACTTTGAATGCATTGACCCTTTGGGGTGACTACTTGTGACCCAACATTAAAATATAGGGTTAGTTTGAGTTTACTGCTAGCATTCACTTCTTTCTAGTTCATGCTTTAAGGATGGACACCTTCCATATGTTACAGACGGCTTTTTATTAGGGATGCACCGATATATCGGCCGCCGAAACATATCGGCCGAAAATTGCACTTTTGGCATAATGCCGAAAGTGCCATTTTCCTGCCGATACATCGGCGCATCCGTGTTTTCTTTCCTCCTGTGCTCTGTGTCCCAGCGGCGAGGAGAGAAACTGTGATAGCCGGCCGAGCCCTGCAGAAGGAGAGCGGTGTGAGCGGCCGGTGTCTCCTCCCACACCGCTCAGCCTCCTATCACAGTCCGGCAGAGCAGTATGGGGGGCGGAGACAGGCCGCGCTGTCACAGGAGGCTGAGCTCTCCTCCCTGCACCACCCTGCTCCTGTGACAGCCTGTCAGAGAGGAGAGCGGGTGATCAGTGATCGCTGAGTGTTTGTAGATAATTGAGGACAGAGTATGTGGACTATATCCCCAATTATGAATGAATGGGAAGTGATCTACATCCCCTCCTACATCACTTCCTGTCAATTCATGATTGTAGTTATAGTAAGCATACTCTGTCCTCATGTTATAAATGATCAGGAACACTCAGTATAGAGGATTCCTGATCATTGATAACAGGGGACACAGAAAAAGAGATTGGAGGACTCTGTGTGCGTCTCTGAGGTCTTTGTGGTACAGTAGAAAGGCGTCATGGCACACTCACAAACCAGGGATGTGGCCGGTGAGTGCGCCATGACGCCTTTCTACTGTACCACTGTTCAAAGCCCATTTCGTGTGAGGTCTTTATTGCACAGGAGGTGCACCCTCCTTATTTCTCCTGGTGCCACTGAAGGCCACATTTTTTTATGCAGCTATCACCAAAACATGAATAGAGGGGAAATCCTCCAATGGGGACGCCTGTTCTGGTGTCAACTGTCTAAGAGGAGAATTTCTCTCACTTTGAAGAGATTCTTTCAGCTCGCCATATACTGAGACCGCCGCAGCCGGGACGGATCCCGACATTACTGTCGAGATCCACCCAGCTGCGTGATTGACAGCTGGCTCAGCCTATCTAGAGGCAGGGCCAGCTGTACCTGCTCCCTCCCCCGTCCGTTCCTCCAGTCAGCGCTGGAGAATCAGAGAGGGGAGGGGGAATCTCTGCAGGGAGCCATGACTGACAGTCACCGCTCACTGCAGGGAGATGATCGAGAAGTGAGCGAGCGACGGTATGTGTTCGCTCACTTCCCGATCTATTGAGCCGACCTGTGACAGTCTCATTGTCACACTTCGGCTTGAACTATGAGGAGGAGCGATGTTCACTCACCTCATAGTTCTCCTTTAAGTCTTTCAAATCATTTGCAGGTATTCTAACGTGCGTGCTCGTCCCCAACGCATTTCTTCCAATTTACTTTTTCAATGGTAGCGTGCGCGTTGATGACACTCTTGCCTTTTATATCCTCTACGGGTGTAATATTCACGATCACCCCTAGATGTCACCCCACCACCCTTCCATCTCTCCCGCATATGACGCTGATAACAACTACAAACCAAAAAATAAAAAATCTTCCCTTCGTTTTCATATCCGTTTGTAACGAGCCCTTTGCTTTCTCGGTCCCACTCTCCCGGCACTCCTCAGATTTCAGACCGCAGCGTCTGATATTTCGGTCGTCCGTAAATCCGGGATTGGAACTACAGCTCTGTGCCGTTCGTATCCAGTGGTGATCGCTCAGAACAAACACCAGGCCGGCTGTATGTAAGTTCCAACAGGGATCTCCTTTATTGGATGCACACAACACACTTTTATACACAACAGTTTGAAGGTGGCCCAACCGACCACCTTCCTATTGGTCAATTGTAAAGTCCCCTCTAGTCCTCACTTAGGTCCTCTTGGCCATGCAAATGAGGACTTGAAACAGGGTCAGCAGGGATTGGTCCGATAGCTTGAATGGCAGGGCTGATATGTGTAGCATTGTCATTAACATTGGGTTTCCAGAGCCGGTATTGAATTGTGAAATTGGACGGCTGTAGGGCCAGGCTCCCCCGCAACAGCCGTCCATGGGCCCCGGGCACCCAGTTCAACCCACAAGGGGGGGGTCTCTATAGTCCTAGGTCCATAGTCTCTAGGAAGGAGGATCCTCCAGCAGCCCCAGTGACGGTTCAGTCCGTCACACCGTTTTACTCACATGTGGAGGACAATAAAATAATCCCGCAGACCTAATAAGATCCTATCCCATACCCCACTCTAATAATCCAGCTGCTGCTAATAAAACAGTCCGATTCAATGTTTAACCCCTTTGGTTTCAATGTGTCCAATAAAAAGATCCATTTTGTCTCATTGCGAGATATCATCCTCGTTCTTTTGGTCCACCTCCAGTGACTATAAATCGGATTTACCCCACAAAAGGTCCGTAGTGTAGGATCTTTATCATGAGCCTCCTTGAAATGTCTTGACACACTAAGGGGGTTATTTACAGAGGAGCCGAAGGATCCAGCCGTAGCTAGTTTTCTTGGTGCTAGTGGCTTTGTGGCAATTTCCTATGGTGAGCCCGAATGGTGGAGCTGGAATCCGGATTGAGGGGGTGGGAATTCTTCTTGCATTTGCATACTATGGTGAAATATTTGATTGTAGTCTCCAGTCAGGGCTGGATTTCCCACAAGGCCACCGAGGCCTGGCCTCGGGGTGGCGGGGAGCAGAGGGGTGGCGGCGTCTGTGGAATCTCCCGATGCTCGGGACATGCAGTTCCGGGTGCCGGGTGAGTAGAGGGGCAGCAGGGAGTAGAGGGACAGCAGTGAGTAGAGGGGCAGCAGGGAGTAGAGGGACAGCAGGGAGTAGAGGGACAGCAGGGAGTAGAGGGGCAGCATGGGTGTGGAATTCCTATCTCCCGACACCCAGGACATGCAGTTCCGGGCGCCGGGTGGGTAGTTGTTTTCTACATTCAGCCCGGCTTCGGGCAAGCAGAGCTAAATGTACAGTGGGGAAGCCGCCGCTTGTTTTGTACATGTGATCTTGGCGATGTGGCCGAGATCACTTGTAATAACACTGCAGGTCCCCCCTCCCCCCACTGCCCCCCACCGTGTACCTCTCTCCTCACTGGAGATCTTCAGGCTCTGTCCTCCCACCAACCCAGCCACTGTGTACCTCTCTCCGCCGGCCAGAGATCCTCAGGATAGAGAGCGGGGGGCAGAGCGGGGAGCAGAGCGGGAGGGGAGAGCTGCACACGCATCCCTTTCACTCTCAGCTGTCACAGGAGTTCCAGCACAGCGCTGTGCTAGAACTCCTGTATTGTAGGTGGCAGGTTCAATAAGGAGGACCTGTCACCTCCAAATGCTATCACACAGGGGATGGTTAGCTCCCGTGTGATAGCAATAAGGTTAAGAAAATAAATGTGATTAAAAAAAAATAGGTAAAAAATAATAAGAAATAATAATTAAAATAAAAAAATAATAAGGTGATTAAAAAGTTAAAAATAATAAGAAAAGAAATAATTAAAAAAAAGTAAAATAGAATAAGAAAAAAATTTTAAGAGTAAAAAAAAATTAAAATTAAAAAAAATAAAAAGTGATAAAAAAATAAAGAAACAATAAAAAAAATAAGACAAACCCAGCCGCCCCCGCCATCTGGTTGCCATTCTCCATTGGGGGGGTTGGCGGGAAAGGAAGCTCATAGAGGAACCTGGCCTTGGGGCAGCAGAGAGAGTAAATCCGGCTCTGATTCAAGTCCTGGTGCCTGAAAGGATAAAAAGTCCCACAATACATAAAAGTCCCTGAATCATTGGGAGGTGGGGTAGAAAAAACCTTCTATGTTATGTTCAAAGTAGACAAAACATCCAAATTCATGTGATTGATTCTATTTTGTTCTTTTGGATAATCATTTCATATTTGCTTTCTATAGATTTCTGAGAGTGTTGCATTGTGGGAGTCCATTTCACTCCGAACATGTCAAACATGTCCAGTTTCCACCCAGAATACTTCCTTCTGATTGGAATTCCGGGTCTAGAGGAAGCACATCTGCTGATCTCCATTCCCTTCTGCATCATGTACATTGTGTCTCTGTTTGGAAATGCCACTTTGCTGATGGTCATCGCCAACAATGAAAGTCTCCACCAGCCCATGTACATCTTCTTGGTCATGTTGACGGTGACGGATCTCCTCTTGAGCTCCGCCGCTGTGCCAAAAACTCTGAGCATATTCTGGTTTAGTTCTCACGAGATCCTCTTCAATTGCTGCCTCCTCCAAATCTTCTCCATCCACTACCTCTTCGTGATTGAGTCATCCATCATCTTGACCATGGCTTATGACCGATATGTCGCCATCTGCTCCCCTCTGATGTACGCGGTCATCGTGACGAGCTCGTTCATACGAAGGACAGCCCTGATAGCAATCACAAGAGCTTTCTGTATCATAACTCCTCTCGTCCTGCTCCTGAACCGCCTCCCATACCAGCAGAGCAACATCATTGCGCAAACCTACTGTGAACACATGGCAATGGCTCGAGTAGCATCGGCAGATGTAACCATCAACAATATCTATGGCCTTCTGGCTGCCTTTTCCTCAACGGGAGTGGACCTGATCCTTATCATCGTGTCTTACGCAATTATTTCCAAGGCAGTTATAGGACTGCAGTCATCAGAAGCTCGCTCCAAGGCCTTCAGCACATGCGTGGCGCACATATGCGTCATCTCTCTGTTCTATATCCCGGCCTTCTTCTCCTTCATCGCGCATAGAGTGGGTCAAGGGAAGATCCCACCGCAAGCTCATATACTGCTGGCCAACCTGTACATCATCGTTCCTCCAATGATGAACCCGATAATCTATGGAGTCAGGACCCGAGAAATAAGACACCGGCTGGTTTTTATGATGAGGAAGACGGTGATTGGACCCAAGCTGGCCGGTTTTCTCTTCTCACGCACCTTCCAATAACTCAGACTTTCCTGTCCTGCTGTATTCATATATAAAGTCAATATAGAGCTGTGTGTACGGCACTACTGTCTGTCTGTCTGTCTGTCTGTCTGTCGGAACTGTGCCGGTTTTGTAAAAATTTGTAAATATTCACAGGGCCAGATTTACTGCCCCAAGGCCAGATTCCACAATGCGCTCCCCTACCCGCCAACCCCCCCTTCCCTCCCTT